TTATCATAAAGTTTTATTCAATTTTTTTAAATGCCTTAAATTAGGTAGAAAGCATTATTACCATACAATGAAATATTAAAATAAGCATTTTTCTCAAAATCTGGCAATACATAACAATCTATTTGCAAAAACGATTTTCCACAAAAAGGTTCTCAAAATTTTTGTAAACTGAAACTATAGTCTGTTTTCCATACTGAGAAATTATTTTAGAAGCGTAATTTTAGAAACAATTTTCCATGTTTGAAATAATAATGTTTTGATAATTTGTATCTATCCAAAAACACACTAACAAATAAGATTTTTTTATAATATCACCCAGAAGGTAAGTGTCACTATCAATCAGATGAACTGCAAATTATGACGTCTTCCGTGTATAATATTGTTCGAGTTTCTTATTTACAGACTTATATAATAAGAAATGTATTATTGTGTATGGCAAGAAGTTAACTTATTGAAAAAAATTTGAAATCAGAAACAGTGACTGTTTATTACAGACATTGGCTTATATTAGCTAATGACAAACAAAAACACTATATATTGAAACTATATCTCAAAACTAAGCGAATGGTTTCCAAATTGGTCTTGAAATTCTAAAATATTGTAAAAAAAAAGTGCTCAAAGAAGAAAAATACTGAAAAGTTGTGCAATGCAAATATACATCACAGTTTATGCTCAGAAAAACAAAACCTTAATCATTAATTTCATTTGAACAAAATAGATCAACTAAGAACAAACTGCATATTTTTTATCCTGATACATGGGACAAGTATGCGCTAATTTATATGGACACCAGAACCTTTTCAATGTGTTTATCAATTGAAATTTTTTATCTTAGATTAGAATAATTTTGTTTTTTTTTGTCACAGATTTCGCCGGCTTGTGTATCTGTTGTATATGGCTGAAAATTTACTATACAACAAACTTCGAAGGTAAAAAGTGTCTTTTCATTGTAGAGATAGGTTCATATTAATTAATAAAAAACGAAAATCCTTGTATTTTATACATTAACATAATTTTTTGTGGGAAAAGTCTGAATACGTTTTAAAAGCAAAATATAATATTTTCCCGGCATTTTTTTTGGTGAAATGCTCGCTTAAGCATAGAAGCGAGTTTGCAAAATAATGAAAAACTATTCTTTTTCTCAACCCGATGATTTTTTAGAAAAACTAATAACACATGTCATTACGTTATTACAAATTTCATTAACACATGTTAATAACACATGTCATTATGTCATTATGTCATTACAAAATGAAAATTCTATGACAATTTTCTGAGGCCATAGTTCCTAAACAACAAAAACTGCCTCAAAATTGATTTGTTTGATCTTTTGGAAAAAAAAAGTTTCGATTGAAAAAAGCTTGTGGTACGATTTCTTTGAACTGTTATCATATCATAAATTTTTGTATAGACATCGTATTTGAAGTTCTATGATAAGTCTTTTTATTCCATCGAGGTCAATCCGGGAAAATTGATATAACGTTCACCAAAGCTAAGCTATTTTTGCTTTTGAAGAAAAATTCGTTGAACGTTTAAAACAGCTGAGAAAAATGCAATCATTTTGAAAAATCTAACCTGAATAACTATTTTGTGACCTTCTGGTTCGTAGGTTGCGTAAGGCTCACTTCTTTCTATTTTCGCTCCAAAATAAGCACCTCCACCGCAAGACTCACCTTTCATATCGCTTAAGTGATTAATGTCGGTGTAAGTACTGTATGCTTGTCCACTTCCAGTAACTTTGAATTGTCTGGTCTGTGAAATAGAGCGCGTGCCATCTTCACTGCTTCCATGAAACCCCACCGCCCACTCATTTGCATTTCCGTTCATCATGATCCAATCTTCGTTCCCTCCATCATATCGGCCCCTGACATGAAGCCCTACTCTTATCCAATTTGAATTTGGCTGATGATAAACCAACCCTCCTCGCACTTGCCTGTCACCTTTCGCTAATGGGAACTCAAAATCACCTCGGCTATCAAAGTCTGACGTCCTCAGACGTAACACATGCAGCAAACCTTTTTCGCGATGGAACTTGGAATCTATAAAAGTTCGCGTTCTTAGACAAGTCGCAAACTGCGCCTGAGAGTATTGCTAAGAACATTATTGAAACCTTTTTAGTATGCCCTTGAAAACTCTGCGCATTTGTCCTAATTTTTGAAGAAAAAAAAGTTGACTTGTCTGACTCTTTTTTGTATAGCTGATTAATTAAAACTTATAAGAAAATAACCGTGAGATTTTCCCTTACCATCCCAGTCCAGCACAAACGCCGATATGAAGTCATCAACACTCATAGCCTGATTTGAAAAATCGTCCACCAAAATGAAAGCTCCATCTGAAAAAGCGATAGAGAAGAAACGCCATTATCGTTACATCAAAATTATAATTACACCAAACATCAACAGCTATCAAGAATAAGGCTCAAATAGTCTTTATGTAATTTATTTGATTGATTTGCTTGTAATCTGGGTCAATGTCGGGAACCTAAGATGTGCCACATTGAACCAAAACTGATAAAGTTTGGACCATCCCGACACAAAACAGCTGTTGCGGGCATTGTGACTCAACATGCGCATGTTTACATACATAGTATTTAAATAAGTTGATATCAGGCAGAAATTATACGAACTCGCAAAGTGACAGTTATGTTATGTTACAACTGCCATCAATGGATCATCAATGCAGATCATCAACAAATCAAAAGATTTATTTTTTATTCAAAAATTCAACATTGCGACAAAAAATGATTTAGTTGTAACTTTGCAAGACAGAAACGTTTCGCGCGAACAAAAAATTACGTTGCAACTTTGTTCGAGTCAAACAGACATATTGCGACGTAGCGTAACCTAACTTGTTTTCACGGTCTTGTGCGAATTTGTGTGACCCATAAAGATGTGTTGCAAGCAGAAAGTTTCTACGTGACTCAAAGCGTATTTGAGTTCAACTGAAAAAATTTGCTGACAAATTCGAAATTTGAACCTAAAACTTGCTTCGGTTGTGTTTTTCTTTATTTAAAACAAGTTTTTCTTTTATGGTTTACGTTTGATTTGAATGTTTCGTAGTTTTCAATTTTTGTGGTAGCGTGTTTGTTGTAGTCCCAACCGCTGTGCTATACTCTTCACTGTGGACCAAGTGTAAGCCTCCTCGTGGCGGTACTGTTAATGATCATTAAATGCAGTGGTCTAGTTTTTTGTGAATTGAAAAAACACGCATACCGGATTACTTTGCTGATAGAATTCTTCTTAATGTTACGCCAGCAAAAAAAATCCGACAAAAAACAGTTCTATCATAAATCCATCATTTGTGGGGCCAAAAAGTATATATGAGCTCATGCAATAAAACCCGAAATTGTGACCATTACTTTCTCTCGAGGTAACCATTCACGTTTAAAATGAGAACATTCATTTGATGAATTTAATTTCTTTAGAAAAATTGGCGGGCCAAATATTTGCTATAATATATACCTTTTTCTTGTGCCACCCTTTGCAAAGCGTCTACAGCTTTTTGTTGATTGCGCTTTAGAGTGGACCGTAAGCGAAGATGCGCTCTTTTTTCCTCAGGCGTAGGTGGCAATCGAAGCACTTTGCTCTTGACTTTCTGAAATGATTCAGACAGACTTTGAACTGATTGAAGAACTTTTTGACCAAGAAGCTGGGAAGAACTGGTTGAATAAATCGTTGGCCTTGTTGCATACCTAATTTGATCTACTGAGGCGCCAGCTTGAGGTGGCTGAAAGGCGCTTTGATGTTGAAGAGCAGTATCATTTGGATAAAGAACGTTTTGACCAAGAGGCTGAGGGAAACTGGTTGAATAACTCGTTGGCCTTGTTGCATACCTAATTTGATCTACTGAGGCGCCAGCTTGAGGTGGCTGAAAGGCGTTTTGATGTTGAAGAGCAGTATCATTTGGATAAAGAACGTTTTGACCAAGAGGCTGAGGGAAACTGGTTGAATAACTCGTTGGCCTTGTTGCATACCTAATTTGATCTACTGAGGCGCCAGCTTGAGGTGGCTGAAAGGCGCTTTGATGTTGAAGAGCAGTATCATTTGGATAAAGAACGTTTTGACCAAGAGGCTGAGAGAAACTGGTTGAATATCTCGTTGGCCTTGTTGCATACCTAATTTGATCTACTGAGGCGCCAGCTTGAGGTGGCTGAAAGGCGCTTTGATGTTGAAGAGCAGTATCATTTGGATAAAGAACGTTTTGACCAAGAGGCTGAGGGAAACTGGTTGAATAACTCGTTGGCCTTGTTGCATACCTAATTTGATCTACTGAGGCGCCAGCTTGAGGTGGCTGAAAGGCGCTTTGATGTTGAAGAGTAGTATCATTTGGATAAAGAACGTTTTGACCAAGAGGCTGAGGGAAACTGGTTGAATAACTCGTTGGCCTTGTTGCATACCTAATTTGATCTACTGAGGCGCCAGCTTGAGGTGGCTGAAAGGCGCTTTGATGTTGAAGAGTAGTATCATTTGGATAAAGAACGTTTTGACCAAGAGGCTGAGAGAAACTGGTTGAATATCTCGTTGGCCTTGTTGCATACCTAATTTGATCTACTGAGGCGCCAGCTTGAGGTGGCTGAAAGGCGCTTTGATGTTGAAGAGCAGTATCATTTGGATAAAGAACGTTTTGACCAAGAGGCTGAGGGAAACTGGTTGAATAACTCGTTGGCCTTGTTGCCTACCTAATTTGATCTACTGAGGCGCCAGCTTGAGGTGGCTGAAAGGCGCTTTGATGTTGAAGAGTAGTATCATTTGGATAAAGAACGTTTTGACCAAGAGGCTGAGGGAAACTGGTTGAATAACTCGTTGGCCTTGTTGCATACCTAATTTGATCTACTGAGGCGCCAGCTTGAGGTGGCTGAAAGGCGCTTTGATGTTGAAGAGCAGTATCATTTGGAGAATGAACTAAAAAAATGATCACCTTTCAATTGATTAGGAGAGTTACGGGGTAAAAACCATAACAAACAATCACCGATTTAAGAATAATTGAAATGTTCTGATAAATATTCCCCAAAACAAAATTTAAACACACGCGTTGACAATTATGAGATTGAACTTGCGTCAAATCAGTTTTTATACCGAATTTGTTTCGCAAAAAGTGATATACGATAAATTATTTTGAAAAGTAAATCAATTTTGAATGGAATAAATGGATTTATCAGAATAAATGGAATTTCAGAAAAAATTGGTTTCATTGCATAACAATGGTTTTAGTCGGATATAAGCGTTATTAACACAACAAAATTCAAGGGTTAACTGTCCCAATTTGGCCAAATTAGCAATACTTAAACTCACATTTTTTTTTACAAATTATGATCACAAGTGAAAAACAAAATTTAGGTTTGAGCTGAAACCGACACTACCTTCTAAAAGATACAAATAAAATCTGTCAAAAAATGCTAGTGAAAAATTCAAACTTTTTCGGGAGAAAAAAACCACCTCGAGCTTGAACAAACCGTCACTTTTTTCGCAAATAGGAACAAAAAACAAAAAATTTCCGGATTCTTCTATAAGGCACTGCCGAAAAACTATGCCTCTTTACGAGTCCAAACTGTGCTAATTGTGAATTGCAAGTGAATGCCACGACAGACAAAAACAAGTTTTTTTGGGAATTCCGCAGCATCCATTTTTTTCTATTTTCTTTGCTGTTGTTTTGGATTCAACGTACAAGTAGCTGAAGTCTCAAAATTGCTTAAACATCAGACCTTTTACAGAATCCGGAACAATTTGTGGGGTCCACAAATAAATTATAATTTATAAGCACAGTAAAATTGATTCAGACAGACTTTGAACTGATTAAAGAACGTTTTGACCAAGAAGCTGGGGGAAACTGATTGAATAACTCGTTGGCCTTGTTGCATAACTATTTAGATCTTTTGAGGCGCCAGCTTGAAGTGGCTGAAAGGCGCTTTGATGTTGATGAGCAGTATAATTTGGATAAAGAACGTTTTGACCAGGAAGCTGGGGGAAACTGGTTGAATAACTCGTTGGCCTTGTTGCATAACTATTTAGATCTACTGAGGCGCCAGCTTGAAGTGGCTGAACGGCGCTTTGATGTTGAAGAGCAGTATCATTTGGATAAAGAACGTTTTGAATAAGAGGCTGAGGTAAACTGGTTGAATAATTCGTTGACCTTGTTGCTTAACTAGTTAGATCTACTGAGGCGCCAGCTTGAAGTGGCTGAAAGGCGCTTTGATGTTCAAGAGCAGTATCATTTGGATAATGAACTTAAAAAATTATCATCATTCAATTGATTAAGAGAGTTACGGGGGTTAAAACCATAACAAATAATCACCGATTTAAGAATTAAGAATAAGTGGATAATTTTGATAGATATTCCCCAAAACAAACTTTAAACACGCGTTGACAAACATGAGATTGAACTTGCGTCAGATCAGTTTTAATACAGAATACGTTTCGTAAGAATTGATATACAAAAAACTATTTAGAAAAGTAAATCAATTTTGAATGTAATAAATGGGTTTATCAGAATAAATGGAATTTGAGAAATATTTGATTTCATTGCATAAAAATGGATTTAACCGGATATACGCGTTATAAACACAACAAAATGCAAGCATTAACTGTCCCAATTTGGCCAAATTAATAATTTTCAAACCCACATTGTTTTACAAATTATGATCACAAAAGAAAACAATTTTAAGTTTGAGCTGAAACCAACAGTACCTTCTGAAATATACAGAGAAAATTTGTCAAAATTGCTAGTGAAAAAGTCGAAATTTTACAGGAGAAGTAAAAAGCACCTCGAGTATGAACAATCCGTCACTTTTTTCGCAAATTGGAACAAAAATCTAAAACTTCCGGATTCTTCTATGAGGCACTGCCAAAAAAATATGCCTCATTACGAGTCCAAACTGTGCTATTTGTGAATTGCAAGTGGATGCCACGACAGACAAAAACAAGTTTTTTGTATAATCCGCATCATCCAATTGTTTTTTTTCTTTGTTGTTGTTTTGGATTCAACGTACGAGTAGCTAAAACAATTTAAGTCTCAAAATTGCTTAAAAATAAGACCTTTTACAGAATCCACAAACAAATTATATTTTAAGAGCATAGTAAAATTGCGCTGCCAAAAAATCAAAATTTTTGAAAAAGCAGCGTATAGCAAAAAAAAACATTTTAAGCAATTTCTCTATTCTGATGTTCAATCAATTAAAAAATATTAAGCTGATGGTGAGTGAAAAACTTTAGGATTAAGGAAGTTAGTCATAAAATTGCACGCTATTTGTGTAAAATTTTTTCAGGGGTTTTTTTCCATTATATCTCCCAACCCCCTTCCACCTGAAAAAAAAAGACTGTACCCCTAGTAGTGACTTTTTGAGGGTTGCTTAGAAATTTCTGAGGAGCGGGGCTACTGTAGAAAAGAACAGTTTTTTATATGAAAATTTGAAGCGCGTAGGTTTGGTATTTGTGTAATTGGACAAGCTGATAGTCAAATTTGCTGTATGTCGGATGCAATAAAAACGATTTTCGATTTGTCAGGAAAGCGTAGAATGCAGAGTTAGACTGTCACTGAACTTCACTTGCGTTCCACTTTTACAATTTCTAAAGCTTCCACTTTTTTTTAACTTTGAGCATTTCTTAGAGCAATGTCTTTGCTGTCGCGAAAAACTTCAAATTAACGAAATCTCATGCTACAGCGAAAATTATAACAAAAAACAGTTGATAAAAAAATTGCTATTAGCCTTAGTGGCATCGGCTACAGCAGTTTTTTTAAGAAATTTTCAATATTGAGCATTACGGGGAAAAACTGTTTTTGTGAATTGTAAGCGGAATCAGCAACAGGGACACTCTTTTTGATCTCCGTTTGTTCCTTTTCTTCTTTGATACAAAGTTTAAAATTTTATAGAATTGTGTCGGGGTAGAAGCCTACATACACCAAAAATTGTACCTATCTCGTTTGCACAGTTTGGCTAGTAATGAGTTTGCAAGACTGGCACTGAAAAAAAATCAAGTTTTCAAATCACAACTTTGCAACGTTAAACTCTGTTAATTGTCTTGTGGCTCAGTAAAAAAGTTGGCAAAGCTACGACCAAAAAAGCTGAAACTGTCAAAGATGTAATTATCATGCTTCTAACATCGTTTGCAAATAAAACAAAAATTTAACTTTTTCTTGAATATTTTTGTAAACCTAACTCAATCAAGACTGGAAAATTCTCGTTTTCAGTGCGTCATTTGGCGTCAATTTAATTTTACTATTGTTATTTTACCTTGCAAAATTGAAGCCCTTGCAAATAACTAAATGATACTAATTAACTTTAAAAAACATCATTAAAAATGTTGTGGTCAAATTTTTTCCCCTACATAGCGCAAAGATATCAAACAAATAGGAAAAAAGACAAAACACGGCAGCAAAATAAAAGCGATTTTTGCAAATCAGATGTTATATTGTCTAGGTTTCAAAGTTCTGTCTGTTAGGCATGAGTCATTGTTTAATTGAAAAATTCTGGCATCGCAGGAACAGTAATCTGAAGTTTTGACATATAATTGATTATAATTAAAATCCTGGTAAATTTTGCTACTTTCAATATTGCTAGACAAGTCAACTGAACGAATAAAGTGGAACTGTATTTTTACCTTGGACATATATCTTTCGCAGATTCTCTATTTTCTTTTGGCAATCTTTGTGTTTGGGGCATCTCTTGCTTTCCAGGGTTTCCAAGAGTTGGCTGTCACTCGATTTGAGGTTTTCATCATCTGTTTGACCACAAATGAAATGTCCGCAAGACAGTTCTAGCATGATTTCCGCAAACTCTCCGCAACTTTCACAAATCAGTAAGCTATTCATTGTTCTTTCGTCTGTCACGAGCAATGAAACTATTTTCTTTGTCGCACAGAGTCAGCTTAAACGTTTTTTTTCTGGCTCAATTTGTTTTTTTTTTGTGTCAACAGGGACATTTTTAACAGTGATTTTTCTGTTTCAGCAGAGATATTTTAACTTATTTTCTGCGTTTAACAATACATATTAAAAAAACAGTGGCCGAACTTTTCAATCTTTCTAATGATGCCTTCGTTTTCAGAGTCGTTATAATTGCTTCAAAACAATCCAATCAAAAAATACTTTCACGCAACTTTTGTGCAATCCCTACTTTTACAATGATGAGATCGCAGAGTTTTTCTATTTAAATATTAATCTGGGCTGACACCCATATTTGAAAACGCTTGTCATAAAACTCAATACACGCAGCATATGGTCGAACTGCTTGTCGTGCAATTTCAGTACATGAAGTTTTCGAGATAAGCAAACACTATACCCTAAAACTTCCAAACATTGAGAATTTTTTCACTTACAAAATCATTTAATTGCTGAAATAAATTTAAATTTTTAAAAAATCGTAAGCAAAATATTCTGTTTTTTGTCTATGACGTGGACCAGGCTCAGTTTGTCATACAAAAGAAACGAAAAAAGTTCATTTAAACTTTTTTATGCTTCCATATGATAAGAAAAAAAATTTTTTCTGTCGAAAAACACTTTTTTCAGCTACAAAATATTTTGAGCTAAAACTTTTTAAGCATGAAGAAATGGTGTTAATAACAAGTTACAAACAGTTATCTTTATTTTTGCTAGCCCTTCACTAATAAAAACAACACAAGAGCTTCAACTGCTAAGCATTTTGAGTGACAACATTCTAGTCAATGACAAAAAATGCGGTTTTAACAGTCGAGATACAAACAGTGATCTTTCTTTCTGCGGACTTTATGTGCAACTTAGCGGAATATAATCCGAATGTTTGCCAATTTGTGCTGTGACTGCCATGTAGCGACCATTCCAGCTGAAATTTCCATCATGAAGATTCATTAAGGTTCAGCCGCAATTAAGGTCAGTGACAGCCGTAATTGCATATCTATAGGTTTCTAAACTACTCAAAAAACTTGTATCGAACTGAAAAATTATGCAAACACAGCTATCGGATATATTGAACGGATTTCTTAAGTTCATGTCAATAATCTTTTCAAAAAGAAAACCTTTAAGGAGTTTTGTAGCTCATGATTGGCTTTTTTTTTCAGGTAAATAGGTCCACTAAAGAAATGATGTAGGTGAGCTTTTCAAGAAATTGAAGTGGAAATTTTGTATAGATGTGATTTTATTTGATTTTAGTAGGCTATTAGAAATAGGAGAATGTTAGCATTTCCAGCTAATTACCAAGAGTATCTTAGTTCTCTGTTCTATTTCAGGTTTCTGTCATCTGCGCACCAGAAATAAAAATGTCCGAAAGAAGGTGCTAGCCGGTTTTCAGCGAATTCTCCGCAATTTTCACAAATCAGTAAGCTATTCATTGTTTTTTCCTCCGTCACGAGCAATGAAATTTACTATTTTGTCGGACATAGTCAGCTTGAACGTTTTTTTCTGGCTCAATTTTTTTTTGTGTCAACAGGGATGTTTTTAACAGAGATATTTCTGTTTCAACAGAGATATTTTCAACTTCAGCGTTTAGCAATGCATATTTGAAAAGTCATTGGCCGAACTTTTCAATCAATCTAATTTTGCCTTCTTTTTTCATAGTTTTTCTATTTAAATATTAATCTGGGCTGACACCCATATTTGAAAACGCTTGTCATAAAACTCAATACACGCAGCATATGGTCGAACTGCTTGTCGTGCAATTTCAGTACATGAAGTTTTCGAGATAAGCAAACACTATACCCTAAAACTTCCAAACATTGAGAATTTTTTTACTTACAAAATCATTTAATTGCTGAAATAAATTTAAATTTTTAAAAAATCGTATGCAAAATATTCTGTTTTTTGTCTATGACGTGGACCAGGCTCAGTTTGTCATACAAAAGAAACGAAAAAAGTTCATTTAAACTTTTTATGCTTCCATATGATAAGAAAAAAAAAATTTTTTCTGTCGAAAAACACTTTTTTCAGCTACAAAACATTTTGAGCTAAAATTTTTTAAGCGTGAAGAAATGGTGTTAATAACAAGTTACAAACAGTTATCTTTATTTTTGCTAGCCCTTCACTAATAAAAACAACACAAGAGCTTCAACTGCTAAGCATTTTGAGTGACAACATTCTAGTCAATGACAAAAAATGCGGTTTTAACAGTCGAGATACAAACAGTGATCTTTCTTTCTGCGGACTTTATGTGCAACTTAGCGGAATATAATCCGAATGTTTGCCATGTGTGCTGTGACTGCCATGTAGCGACAATTCCAGCTGAAATTTCCATCATGAAGATTCATTAAGGTTCAGCCGCAATTAAGGTCAGTGACAGCCGTAATTGCATATCTATAGGTTTCTAAACTACTCAAAAAACTTGTATCGAACTGAAAAATTATGCAAACACAGCTATCGGATATATTGAACGGATTTCTTAAGTTCATGTCAATAATTTTTTCAAAAAGAAAACCTTTAAGGAGTTTTGTAGCTCATGATTGGCTTTTTTTTTTCAGGTAAACAGGTCCACTAAAGAAATGATGTAGGTGAGCTTTTCAAGAAATTGAAGTGGAAATTTTTTATAGATGTGATTTTATTTGATTTTAGTAGGCTATTAGAAATAGGAGAATGTTAGCATTTCCAGCTAATTACCAAGAGTACCTTAGTTCTCTGTTCTATTTCAGGTTTCTGTCATCTGCGCACCAGAAATAAAAATGTCCGAAAGAAGGTGCTAGCCGGTTTTTAGCAAATTCTCCGCAATTTTCACAAATCAGTAAGCTATTCATTGTTTTTTCCTCCGTCACGAGCAATGAAATTTACTATTTTGTCGGACATAGTCAGCTTGAACGTTTTTTTTCTGGCTCAATTTTTTTTTGTGTCAACAGGGATATTTTTAACAGAGATATTTCTGTTTCAACAGAGATATTTTCAACTTCAGCGTTTAGCAATGCATATTTGAAAAATCATTGGCCGAACTTTTCAATCAATCTAATTTTGCCTTCTTTTTTCATAGTTTTTCTATTTAAATATTAATCTGGGCTGACACCCATATTTGAAAACGCTTGTCATAAAACTCAATACACGCAGCATATGGTCGAACTGCTTGTCGTGCAATTTCAGTACATGAAGTTTTCGAGATAAGCAAACACTATACCCTAAAACTTCCAAACATTGAGAATTTTTTCACTTACAAAATCATTTAATTGCTGAAATAAATTTAAATTTTTAAAAAATCGTAGCAAAATATTCTGTTTTTTGTCTATGACGTGGACCAGGCTCAGTTTGTCATACAAAAGAAACGAAAAAAGTTCATTTAAACTTTTTATGCTTCCATATGATAAGAAAAAAAAATTTTCTGTCGAAAAACACTTTTTTCAGCTACAAAACATTTTGAGCTAAAACTTTTTAAGCATGAAGAAATGGTGTTAATAACAAGTTACAAACAGTTATCTTTATTTTTGCTAGCCCTTCACTAATAAAAACAACACAAGAGCTTCAACTGCTAAGCATTTTGAGTGACAACATTCTAGTCAATGACAAAAAATGCGGTTTTAACAGTCGAGATACAAACAGTGATCTTTCTTTCTGCGGACTTTATGTGCAACTTAGCGGAATATAATCCGAATGTTTGCCAATTTGTGCTGTGACTGCCATGTAGCGACAATTCCAGCTGAAATTTCCATCATGAAGATTCATTAAGGTTCAGCCGCAATTAAGGTCAGTGACAGCCGTAATTGCATATCTATAGGTTTCTAAACTACTCAAAAAACTTGTATCGAACTGAAAAATTATGCAATCACAGCTATCGGATATATTGAACGGATTTCTTATGTTCATGTCAATAATTTTTTCAAAAAGAAAACCTTTAAGGAGTTTTGTAGCTCATGATTGGCTTTTTTTTCAGGTAAATAGGTCCACTAAAGAAATGATGTAGGTGAGCTTTTCAAGAAATTGAAGTGGAAATTTTTTATAGATGTGATTTTATTTGATTTTAGTAGGCTATTAGAAATAGGAGAATGTTAGCATTTCCAGCTTATTACCAAGAGTATCTTAGTTCTCTGTTCTATTTCAGGTTTCTGTCATCTGCGCACCAGAAATAAAAATGTCCAAAAGAAGGTGCTAGCCGGTTTTCAGCAAATTCTCCGCAATTTTCACAAATCAGTAAGCTATTCATTGTTTTTTCCTCCGTCACGAGCAATGAAATTTACTATTTTGTCGGACATAGTCAGCTTGAACGTTTTTTTCTGGCTCAATTTACTTTTTGTGTCAACAGGGATATTTTTAACAGAGATATTTCTGTTTCAACAGAGATATTTTGAACTTCAGCGTTTAGCAATGCATATTTGAAAAATCATTGGCCGAACTTTTCAATCAATCTAATTTTGCCTTCTTTTTTCAGAGTCGTTATACTAGCTTCAAAACAATTTAATCAAATAATACTTTCACGCAACTATTGTGCAATCGCTAAATGTACACCGATAAAGCATCTGAAAAATAATTGCTCCGAAAAATTGTTCACAGAATTTTTCTATTTAAATAATAGTCTGGGCTGACACCCATATGTGAAAAAGCTTGTATTAAAACTCAATACACAAAGCTTATGGTGAAATTTTTAACGTGCAATTTCAATATCGGAAATTTTCAAGATAGGCAAACTTTATACTCTGAACGTCCAAACATTGGAAATTTATTTACTTGCAGTATCACTTATTTTGAAATAAGTATGAATGAAAAATCACATGCTAAAAATTGTGACTTTTGCCTATGACGTAGACCAGGCTTAGTTTAACAAACAAAAGAAACGAATGCTCATCCAAATGTTTTATGCGTCCATTTGATAGGAAAAAAATTACTCTGTCGAAAACTTTTTTCAGCTACTTAACGTTTCTAGAGTTGAATTTTTTAGTCACGAAGAAAAATTACTTGGTGCTACTAACAAGTTAAAAACAGTTATCTTTA